AAAACATTATTAAAATACCCCCCCCCCCCCCCACCCACCCAAATACTGTAACAGCACACAACTGTGCCACATACTTTATCTGGAGCAGTTTTGAATCAATATTTATCTAATAACATGACAAAAACATTTTAGTGGAATACATCATCACCAGAGATGCTGACTATTAAATAAGGAGGGGCGAGTACTGATACCACATACCTGTATTGGGCCGACACCTTATATTTTAGGTTTGGCCGGTACTGGTATCGTTTTGCTTTCAGGAACTAAAAGGCATACAAGGCTGACTGATTACCATTCATGTGCAATTTCTGTACCGGTAACTATTCGGAATACGCTGCAAACGCGCACTGCTTGGCTCCGACCGTTTGGTGTTGTCCAAATATGCCGTTTGGTTATTCAGAGTTCACCAAAAATGGCGCGCCGGTGCGCCCTCTAACTGGGGACGCCAGTGCGCAAGGAACTCCAGATGGAAACAGTTCAAGCATGAGCTTCTGGTTGCTTTAGAACATAAGATGGATTCAGAAATTAACACGTGCGCTTGGTGCACAGGTGTCAGTGTGAACTTCGAAATAATACCACACTTTTGTTGTTTGGCTTTTTCCTTACCTGTGAATGACCAGGCCCATCCATCTGTTTTCATTTCTAAATGCGCATACAAAATTCTACACACCCCGCTGCAGCCTTTCGTGTGTTTCTGAACAGACGCCCCCGTGAACGTACACGTCGACTTCAACGCAAACGTGAAGGAGGGCGAGGCCGTGCGCCTGAAGTGCAGCTGCGACGCGAACCCTCCCGCCATCAGTTACGAGTGGCATAACGAAGACGGTGCTGAGCTGCACAAGGGCAGCGTCTTCGTCCTGGCAAACGTCTCCAGACACACGGGGGCCCTGTACTGCACGGCTACCAACGCCTTGGGAAGAGCAACATCATCACCCGCACAGCTTAACGTGACATGTAAGTAAACAATCAAGTCACTTTTGTGGTGATTTGATTTAACCCTGACATACTGTTCGGGTCAAATTTCACTGACGTTTATCAATATCAGACAGGATAATTTTAAAAAAGTTGTACTATAGTTCATAATTTGATATAAATCATTATTATGAGGATATTCTTAGCCTTGGGCTAAAATTGACACACAACATACAATATGTGCATGCAAATGAACAGTATGTAAAGGGTTAAAGTATGTCTTTCTTGCCTTTTTTCAATAGATGCCCCTGTGATTAAGAGCGTCTCATCGTGCTCCTCCGACGGGGAGATGGTAAAGTGTGTGTGCATTGCAGAGTCCAGACCCCCCAGCAATGTCCATTTTTCACTGCCTGACACACTCCTTCCGAGGCCTGACGTAGAGCGACATGATTCCATTACCATCGGCACTCTGCGCGCTTTTCTTCCTTCTTCTGAATTGGTCTACTGCGTGGCTAACAACGCCATGGGCAACGCCAGCGCCGCCATCACTTTACCAGTTCACAGTATGGAAGAAAGTATTTCACTTGATTGAATGACCAGTTTGGATGACATGAATTCTGATTTTTTCCACCCTGTTTTGTTTTAATACAGGTAAGATGCTGTATCTTTATGTTATTATTGCAGCTGGAGGTGTTTTGATGCTGGTGATTCTCTTAGTAGTGATGATAAAAAAATGGTAAGAGACCGCAAACTACCACAATTGAACGCTCAAAAAGTCGGAACAAAAACTGAGGATTTCGACTTATCATGCAGCATGTCATGTGCGACTTCAACAACAATTCCAAAATGTCCCCCTTTTTGGGGGGTGCAAATAGTGACAAGTTTGATTGATTATTATCTCATTGCGAGTCTAATTGCAAATTATTACAGCGATCTGATATTTACCAACAAAATTACGAATCGGTGTTTTCATTTCAACATTTTGGCAGATCAGGTTCGATATCCGGTGTATACCTTTTATAAAACAACTGATGATCTCAAAATCGACATTAATCCCCCATACCTATTGAAACTGGGCCCATAACCTGTTGATCCTTCTGCTGCGGAAGTCTCTCGCTGGTCATGTGTAGGCATCATTGCTGGTGACTACACTCGGTTCGAGGCACAAGACTGGAGACGTTTCTTTTATTTTTCTGTGTGTCGCTACCACTGAGTCGCTCAACACCTGACGTGCCTCAGTGCATCGTCACTGCCAAAAGCGAACTGCCGGGAAGCTCCACCCCCTTTATTTATATACACCCCAGAACATGGTGTCCTTCCACACAAAGTAGTGCCACACATTGGAACAACAGTGATAGTGGCATACATCGTACCCAACACCTTTGAATACAAACAGTTGATGGACATTTTGTAATATTCAATATCTTACAATATTTCTACAGGAGGTTTTAAACTCCTCAAGTGTCTTCACGAGGAACAGCCAATTTCAGACCTCATTTATGTGGTCATGAGTGCGCCCTCCAGTGGACATGACTAACAATGGCAGTTCCTTTTAATTGAAAAATTGCAAAGTCATTCAACTATCCCAGATTGGACCCCTTGGTGGTCTGGTTCTAGCACGCGAGGCCATACATATAACACCCATGTGCTTGAGCAATACAATGAACGAAATATCAAATATACGCACTAACTAATTTGCAGTTCATTCAATGCCTCAACAGTATTTACTGTGACGACGTGGTGTCTGTTACCTATTTTTAAACTTGCTCTCAACATAGGCTGCAAATACATACAAGTTTTTTTTTTAAATAAAATTTAAATTAATTTCACGAATCAATGTGGTTGGTCAGTTGGTCCGCATTTGTGTACGTGTGTGCCGCAAATTGTAGACCCATTCAAAGTGCTGAAAATGGCTTGCTGTCTTTGACAATGCAATCATAATGGTTGCACAAAACGACCGTTTTTGTTTGTTTGTTTGTTTTTTTGTTTGTTTGTTTGTTTGTTTGTTTGTTTTTACACCCGGAGGACTCAATGAGATGACATACTGTTGTTTTGCCACCAGGGGTAGATCGAGAGGCGTGCCTGCCTCAGAGCATCCACTGAAAACTGTCGAGTCCCTTCAAACTGTCAAATCAGCAAGGTTCTAATGTGTTCGTGTTACGGAAAATTTTCCACCTGCAATTTCCAAAGGAAAACGTGTCATTTTCTGTCTCTTTTCTTGCACTCCTTCAAGGAAATACATTGAGGCTGGTCAGGATCAAAGCAGCAACGATGATCATACCTATGGCAACACGAGTGAGGTTTGTTAACACTTCCTGTGAGTTATTTCATTTCATGTCTGCTCGGAGGGAATTAACCTTATTTTTCCTCACAGGCTGAGTGGACGATAGACTGTGATCCAGTTTATGCCAACATGTAAAATTGACCTGAAGGATTGAACGCATGGGCAGTGTTTGTGTTGTTGTATTTTTCATTTGTAACTTAGTACTGCTGAATATTTTCAGTGTAGGTAACTTTTTGTTTTTTGTGTAGTAAGTCCACGAACCGTCCAAATGTTAAAAAGATAGTACAGCCTCAATTAAATGAGACATATTATTCCTTTTTCCCCTCATTTAAAACAGTTCCTGTCACGTGACTTGGTGGCGGACCCCAAAAAAAGCAGGCAAGAGGGAGGACCAGGGTGTACTTGACGAATTGTATTTTAAACAAAGAGAAAAACTAAATCCAGAACTCAGACATGAAGAAAGCAAAAATCCAAAGTAACAAACAAAAACCATGGCTGAAGCTAAAAACTAACTTTGACCGTAGCATGAGCGAGAAGCTGAGAACAAGAACGAAACATGAACAAAACATGAGCTAGAAACAAACATGGCCGAAACATGACAGGGCCAAACAAACAATGACCCGACACTGAGTGCTCGTGCCGGGAGTCTCTTTATAGTAATAACAACATAATGACCAACAGGTGTCCAGCTTCAGGAGGAGCCCTACACCGCCACCTGTTGGTCACAAACAGAAACATGACAGTTCCTCGTTTTTAGAAACACCCCTGATATTCTTTTGTCAACATAACATCATACTGATTCAGATCTTTTGGCGGGGGTTTCGGGGATGGGTTTTGACTCTTTTAATACAGAGGATGGCTTTTGTAAATATACTGAGCATTTTTTTTTTTCTTTTGGCAAAAAGGGATGAGCAAAAAAAAAATCGAGTGGGTTTTTACGTTGCTATACTTCTGGAGACTTGGCTATACACTCCACACTTAGAGAACACCGCTCCTTGTCTAGCCTGTAAATGAATGTCACCTCGACAAAATAACCACATGCTGGAAATAGGCAAGTAACAAAATATTCACTTGGGTTGTGTTTGGAACAAGGACATGAGTTTACAGTTGCTGTATTACTGTACTGTGTGCAGAAGGAAGAAGGTCAAACAGTCGTTTAGGACTTTAATTTATTACACAATATGGAGTGACCTTTTTTTAATGGTCTTGTTGCACAAACAGTGGTCAAATGCAAAGGTTTTCACTGCCACACAACTCGGGAGCATTGTTAAATACGTTCCGGCTGTCGCATGATTACAACATTCCAGATCGATGTCAATATCATAAAAAGCTGAGTGTAGTTTCGAAAATAAACACAAACAAAACACTTTACATCCATCCATGTTATGTTGTGTTACTCTGTTTACCAGACAGATATTTTACGCTACCACTCATGATTTGTCTTGTGCCAAAAATGAAACAATACCCCAGAAATAGATGCAATGCATCATGGGGGTATGTTGCTTTTCTAGCCACCGTCGATTGGTACACTACTTTTCATTTTGCATTGTTGGATACCCTGATTGCGTTTCATTTTAATTTTTTGAGTGGGCGTGCATTGCAGAGATTGACTCTCTCTCTCTCTCTCTCTCTCTCTCTCTCTCTCTCTCTCTCTCTCTCTCTCTCTCTCTCTCTCTCTCTCTCTCTCTCTCTCTCTCTCTCTCTCTCTCTCTCTCTCTCTCTCTCTCTCTCTCTCTCTCTCTCTCTCTCTCTCTCTCTCTCTCTCTCTCTCTCTCTCTCTCTCTCTCTCTCTCTCTCTC